AGCCACAAACCTTTGTTATCACTCTTTCTTTTTCTGTTCTTAGCCAGCCTTCTGATGAAATCCTTTCTTTTATTCTTTTAGTATAGTTTTAATATAATATATATCATAAAATAATAAATCAGCCTTCTGAAACACGGAGTCAGATCCTCATCTCTTCCCTCATCCTCAGACCTCTGTGAACATGGTCACATAAAGGACTCTGGGGCTGCTGCACAAGCCATACCTGGAGAAGTTGTTTTTCAGTTTTCTTGCAGTGGGAAATTCTGAGACCTTTTCTTCTACTTGCCACACTGGCAGGCTTGTTTGGCTGTGCTATCTTTGTGCTTGGTAAAAACATATTCTTGTTTGGGGTAGGTTTATCTTTTGCTCTAAGCCATAAAAACCCCTTCTAACCAACACACCCTTTGCCTCCTTGGTTATCCAGTAAGACTGGCTCAGCAATTCTTTTCTTCTCTATTAAAACTTGCTTCCATCTCTCTTCCTTCTTCAGATTCTACATTCAAAAACTTTTCTGCCAAGCACACATATCTGTGAGACTTTCTTGTCAAACTTTCATCCTTCCCAGCAAAGCCAGACACATTGGAAGTGGTGTTTTTACCTAGGATGCTGAGCAGCACTGGCAGCAGGAGGAGGATGTGTGTGGTGAACACTGCCACAGCAGCCACACAGATGACCAGCGAGAGGACAAGGCCGTACAGGGCACTCTGCACTCCTGGAAGGAAACAGCCAGCTGATATGAATCCTGGAAGGTGACAGCTGCCATGGCAAAGGCACCATGTTCCTGCTGGCAACAAGGCAGGCAGGGACTCACACTGGGGAAGACAGGAGGGGGAGAATGAAAGTGGAAAGAAGGTGATTTGTCTGAACCCAGGACATCCCTCTGGCTGCCCTGGATGGCTCAAGCCCTTGACAGGGGGCTCAGAGACCTTGGCACAGAGCCCAAGACCCCTGTGCCTTCCATTTTAACCTATGGAAACCATTACCAACTTTGTGCAAGGAGTTACAAGCCACAATAGTTTGAATAGAATGATAGTGAATTTATCACCAGGTGAAAAAAATATAATTTTGGGGTTTTTAGAATGGGGGTTCAGGAGGCAAGATGGAGGAATCTGGGTGTGTCCAGTCTTTCTCCTTCTTCTCCTTCTCCTCCATCTTCTGCTGGGATGGTGGCACTTTTGGATGGGTTTAGAGTAGAGACAGACTGTCTAACATTGGTGATAGGTAGTGGAAAATCATTGTAAATAAAGTACATGTAGTTCTTAATATAAAAAGCCAACAGCATCCCAAGGGTGGTCAGTGTGCCACAAAGCAACGTGCTGGACAGATCTGAGCAGGTCAAAGAATGGAATACATAAGCAAAAAATAAACAGCCTTGAAAACAAGAACAGAAGAATCCTGANCTTTCTGTATTCTTTAGTATAGTTTAGTTTAGTATTCTTTAATATAATATAGTATCATAAAATAATAAGTTAGCCTTCTGAGAAGATGGAGTCAGGTTCATCATTCCTGCCTTTGTCGGGGTAATACAATACAGAACCATTCCCTCATGGGCACAGGGTTCATTATGAAGGAGCTGGTGCAGATTAGAGGTAGGTGCCAAGAAAACATTTCACACTTTGCAGAAAGGGATAACTCAGAAGCTCCATGGGATAGCAAGGAGAAACCAGGCCACTCACATTCTGCTCTACTCACATTCTCACTACCCTCACTGCCTGTAGCAGGATTACTCTGGAGTCTGCCTGGAAACAATAAGAACTCCTCTCTTCAGCTTGGGGAACCTACTTTAGAAACAAGTATTTGACCCAGTTTCACAGGGATGACAATGTGTAAGACTGGCAGGGATCAAAGCAGGGATGCCCTGAGCCACGGAGAAGCAGTTCAGTCTCTCAGCAGTGCAGGCCCCACAAACTGGCTGGCAATGGGGTTGGACTTCCTGGAAGTTTCATCTTAAAAAGAGAACACAAAGCCACCAGACATGAAATCTGCAAAGAAATTGAGTTAGGCTGCTTCCTGACCACATTATTCTGCAGGCACCCTTGTAAGTAATGGCTAATGCATCTCCCAGTGGGCCTGACCCTCCCCTCCTGCCAAGGATCAGATGTGCTGTGCATTAATGCACACTTAGCTATTTCAATTTTAAAAATACGAGAGAAGCAGTGATGCTTAAAATGCACTTGTTAATGGCAGCAGTTTGTGATTTCATTTTAGTTTAATACCAACCATCTGCTCAGAGCAGACAGCAGCTGCAGCTCTGGTGCCCGTGGGTCTCCACTGAGGAGGGTTTCTGTGAGCTGCCACAGAGGATGCAGTGCACACCACCAGGAATGGGCTCTGCCTTGTCCTCAGCCAAGAGCTGTGATCAAAGAGCTTTGCAGGGACGCCTGGGCTCTCTTTTCTCTCCACCAGGAGAGGCAACATGGGGAAACTGGGCATTGAAACTGCCTTGACCTCACTAGTGGGACGAGGGAGAGGAGGGCAGGCTGCTGAGGGCACCATCTGCTTCCTGGTGGCTGCTGGCAGACACATGAGATCCCAAATTCCCCCAGAAGGAAGGGGAATGCTTTGTGTCCCAGCACCCTCTCTGAACCATGACAGCAGGGCCACTGCAGGTGGTGCCACCCAACAGCTCTGGTTTGGATCCCAAAGTGACACTCAAAAGTGCAGCAAGTTCACTGCTGGTCTGGCATGGGTACAGGGCCTGGCAAAGTATCCAGATAATGCTGTCCCCAGGCCTGTCCAACAGCTCACTGCTGCTCTTGGAGGCTCAAGTAAGGAGGCACAGGCTTGGTGTGGGAGCAGGACATCACCCAAGAGTCATCCTTACAGTTCTGACCCTGGACAAGGGAGGGGAAGGACAGAGGGAAGGGTTTTTGAAAGGATCAGATGACCTTCCCAAATTCCCCCATTTTAGCCTTGTGGGTCCAGAAAGCCCTGTTTGATAAAAATAAATTAAAAGAAAAGAAAAAAAGAAAGCAGAAAAAAAACTGAGAGAAGGAAAGCTCCTCCTCTCCTATTCATGGGCTGAGGCATTCCCTGGGCAGCCCTCACTTTCCATCCATCACTACCCATCCATCACTACCTAAAATAAATACAAGTTTCGAGCAAAACTCATTAGAAAATAAAGTGCATCTGCAATTGAAAAACTTCATGAAAAAAGGGACTCTTTTTTTTTTTCCTCTTTGTTTTCCTTACAAAAAATATTCTTTAAAAAGAAAAGAAAAAACGAAAAGAGCGACGCGGCTCTCTCGGCCTGGCGTCTAGAGGGCCGTCCCATTGGGTCACACAGGGCTGTCCCATCAGGTCTAGAGGGCTGTCCCGTTGGGGAGGGGGATCTTAAACCCACTCTTGAGCAGGGCAAGGCAGATGCAGAGAGCCAGCAGGCCAGCCAGGAGCACGGCCAGCAGAGCCTTGAGGCAGGAGGTGCTGCTGCGCGTGAAGGTGCCGGGCGCCATGGTGCTCAGCAGGGCCGTGCTCACAGTCAGCGTGTACAGGATGGACACTGCCGTGTTGAGGGCCACGATCTTCCCAAACTTGGCAAAGGGGGCAATGATGCAGAAGAACAGCGGGACGGTGGCAATCAGCGTGGTGGTGGCGCTGGAGACGATGGCCACCCCAACGTGGCGCACGGCTTCCATTGTCCTCCACTGCCGGCACGCTGTGGGGTCCTGGGGAGGGACAGCAGCGTTAGTGTGACAGGCACAGGGGGTTCATTGATATTTTAGGGTTTGGGAGGGTGGCTTAGCTGACAGAATCCCAATCTGGGACAAAGAGGCTGTTTGAGTGCAGCTCAGACATTTAGTGCAGTGCTATGCAAAGAGCCATTGGGTCAGAGTCACAGAATCACAGAATAATGAGGTTGGAAATGACTTCTAAGATCATGGAGAGGTGGCTTAGCTGATAGAATGCCAGTCCAGGACAAAGAGGCTGCTTGAGTCTGTACTCAGACTGTCTGTGCTCAGACATTTAGTGCAGTGCTATGCAAAGAGCCATAGGGTTACAATCACAGAATCACAGAATAATGAGGTTGGAAGAGACCTCTTAGATCATCGAGTCCAACCTATGCCCTAACACTTCAATTAGACTATAGCACCAAGTGCCATGTCCAGGCTTTATTTAAACACTTCCAGAGATGGTGATTCTACCACCTCCCTGGGAAGAGCATTCCAGTACTTTATTATTCTTTGGGCGAAAAATTTCTTCCTAATATCCAACCTGTACCTTCCCTGACAAAGCTGGAGGCTGTGTCCTCTGGTTCTGTCAGAGACTGACCCCACCTGTCCACAACCTCCCTTCAGAAGAGCAATAAGGGCACCTCTGAGCCTCCTTTTCTCCAGGCTGGGCATCCCCAGCTCCCTCAGTGGTTCCTCACAGGGTTTGTGTTCCCAGCCCCTCTCCAGCCTCGTTGCCTCCTCTGGATGTGCTCAAGCATCTCAACATCCTTCCTAAACTGAGGAGCCATAGCTGCACACCACACTCTGACCCTCGCCTGTCGTGTGTCCTGCATCACAGCTGAGTGCCAGGGAGGCACAGGAGAAAGGAATGCCAGGCTGTAGGAGGAGCAGAGCTCACCTCAGCCTGCTGGAGAGGCAGGTTCTCCCCTGCCAGCAGGTATCCCTCCACCAGGTGCACGCAGTAATCAACAGAGGAGCCCACCAGGATGGAGAGGGAGATGGCTTCCACAGCTCCCATCTCCCAGCCACACCAGTACATGATGGTCACTACCAGGCACACAACCCCTGTGGGAGAAAGGTGCTGTTAGACAAATGTAAAGGTGTCACAGACATCTTTTATGAA